CCTGCCTGACACTAGTTCTTTTCTCTGAGTAGAAGAACCATCAGAAATGCAGAATCTGTCTGAGGGCTGCCCAGGCAGGTGGGCAGATTTCTGAAGACCTGAGGCCCTCCAGGCCTTTTTCATTGGAAATGGATTTTCTCCTCGCTTCAGGTCTTTTATCTCCCCATCTCTCTCGGAAGGCCAGTCATACACTCACTCGTCCCAAATGCTCTCTCAAGGATGGGGAAACCCATTACTGAAAAGATACTGTCTGGGAATTCTCTGTTGTTTGGATTCCAGCAAGACACCATCTCTGGTCGCAGTCACTGGTTCCCATTAGGGAGTCACCAGCGGGTGGCCTTGCTTCCCTCACACAGCTTTGCCCTGGAGAAAAAGTAGAGGATTTTTACCAACTTGAGGAGCAGCTGGTCCCAGCTACTGCTCACCCAGAGCTGGTCAATCAAACCCCCGCACTGAGGAGAGAGAGGCATGCAGGAGTGTTCAAAAGAAACCAGAAAATGCTTGACTGACATGCGTGTGCCTTGAGTTTCACCATCAGACTCTCCTCCATGGACTTATTAACTGTGTTTATTGGGGAAATAAAAATTCTCACACTGAGAGTTTTTTTTTTTTTTTCCTATTGGTTTTAGAAACTGGTGAACATTGCTGCCTAAACTCAGGCACTGGCCTGCTGTTGAAAATTAGCTGGGCAGCATTTCATGTTAAATCTGCTTGTATATTCACTCTGTGCTCCTAGAATCCTTAAATCCTTGGGGCTCTGGGTCTGGGAAGGCCTTCCAAATAGAAGGGAACAAGCAAGGGAATGGAGGAGAGAAATCATACGGCCTGAGGCTGTGCAACGGATGGGTTTGTAACAGGGATGTGGTTGGGGCCTGACCATAGGGACCTCACAAGCCTGTAAAGGCTCTTGGACTCTATTACATAGGTGATGGGAAGCCACTGATAGGTTTTAAATTGGGAGTGACAAGATTGGATTTTTTTGTGAGTACTCTAGGGGCTCCAAGGGGGTGGGATTTGAGCAGCGTCAGGTCAAGGAAGGAGAGCAGGTGGAGGCACTAATTCAAGTGGAAGATGTTGACAGCCAGAGGAAGGGCAGTGGTCTGGGTGGACAGGAGAGCAAGTGGGAGAAATATCTATAAGGGAAGTAAAATGAACAGGACCAGGTCTGCTTCTGAAAAGCAAAGAGGTTAGAATCAAAGATGTGTTTCTAGCATGTGTGAACCATTGTGGCGTTGCCAAACAAAAGAGAGGACTCAGAACACAGGCAGGCCTAACCCAACTGGGGGAAGGGAAGCTTCCCCTTCAAATATTTGAGTCTGAGGTGCCTGGATTCATCCAGGTGCCAAAGAGCAGTAGGCAGCAGAATATAGCACCTTAAGCTCTCAGAGCAGGGGTGGGAAGTGCTGGCTTGGGACCAGAACACATGAATTCTAAATCTGGCTTCATCACTGAAGAGGCCAGTTTTCATGAGGTTGTGCAGTGGGGACATGTGAGCCCCAAGTCCCAGGGGCTTCCAACAACATATGTGAAGGCTGTGGGGTCCGCTTTGACTTTGCTCCATGTCTTCCTCATTCTGGAACCCAGGGTAAAGGGGGAACCCCCACCTCAGCCTTGTGCAGAGGGGAAAAAGCCTCAGCATGGCCCTGTGATGATGCTTACAGCTCCTGCTTGGACAAAGGTGACATGTCAATGAGGTGGGAAGTGCATCCTGACTGCCAGTGCATCGTGGGCCAGTGGTCAGGGAGGCCTATTCCTCAGTGGAAAGGGAAGAAAATAATCGGGCAATGATGCAATCTACACCAACTGCTTACTGGCTATAAAACAGCCAACTTCTTTCTGCCTTGGTTACTTCATCTGTGAAATAAAAATGACAGTGCTACCCTTTAGGGTGGTTAAGAGGATTCACTTGGTGCATGTAACGCGCTTAGAATACTCCCCAACACAGAGTAAACACCATGTACTTATGGGGGGGATGGAGGCAGGAGGTTAGCATTTAATGGATTTGGAATTTCTGTTTGGGAAGATGAAAACATTCTGGAGGCTTGGCACCTATAGCTCAGCAGATAGGGCGCAAACCACATACACAGAGGCTGGTGGGTTCGAACCCAGCCCACGCCTCCTAAACAAAATGACAATTACAACAACAACAACAACAAAATAGGTGTGTGGCAGGTGTCTGTAGTCCCAGCTACTTGGAGGCTGAGGCAAGAGAATTGCCTAAGCCCAAGAGTTTGAGGTTGCTGGGAACTGTGATAACCACAGCACTCTACCCAGGGTGACATAGTGAGACTCTGTCTCAAAAAAAGAAAAGAAAATGTTCCAGAGATGGGGCCAGGCACCAGCAGCTCATGCCTGTAATCCTAGCACTCTGGGAGGCCAAGCTGTGTCAATTCCCTTGAGCTCAGGAGTTAGAGACAAGCCTGAGCAAGAGTGAGACCTTGTCTCTACAAACAATAGAAAAACTAGCCTGGTGTTGTGGTAGGTGGCTGGAGACCCAGCTACTTCAGAGTTTGAGGCAAGATGATAGCTTAAGCCCAAGAGTTTGAGGTTGAGGTTGCTGTTGAGCTATGATGCCATAGCACTCTACCTAGGGCAACAGAGTAAGACTTGGTCTCAAACAAACAAAACACAACCCCCCCCCAAAACCAAAAAGAAAAAACGTTTGGGAGGTGGATCCTGCAATGGTTGCACAACAATACAAAAGCACTTAATGCCACAGAACTATGCACTTACAAATAGTTAAAATGATAACTTATATATATATATATATTTTCCCATAATTTTAAAAATGTAGGTGGATGGCATCACCAGGGAAGATTGTGAGAGAAGGGAAGGTGGAGGGAGAAAGAGCTATGAGGGCAAAAGCATCAAGAAAGGGGTCTGCATGGGAGACAGAAAAGGGACATTTGGGACAGATGAGGAAAACCGGAAGAGGGTGATGTCCCTCAAAGCCATGGAGTCCAGTTTCCAGTAGGAGGGAGGGTTGGAGTGATGAGAGTGTCCCTTTTGCTTGGCTGAACCTGAACCTTAGCCAACAGAGCCACCTTCCCCCTGGCACCTTGGTTTTGGTGGGTCTGCTTAAGTTTGCTAGCTCCTGAGGATGTCACTTCTGGGCATGGTCCACACCTGGTCCAGGCTGCTTCCATGCAAGACCCTGGCCAGGTCTCTCTTTCCTGACTCCCTCCTCCCCTTTCCCTAGCCAGTTCTATTTTGTCCACTGTTGACATCTTGGTGAAACAAATAATATTTTAATTAAAAAAACCAGAATTTGGGATATCTTTTCATACATCATTTTTTATTACTATTGATGTGTATTTTTCTACTCTGAAAAAAAAGCTTTCATATTTTGAATTTAATTCCTTTAATAACAAAAGAGTTCATCTTTTGTTTACAGAATATTAACTCTTAGATAGGTCATAGATTAGGGAAACTGAGAGCCAAATTTTTACAGTGGAAAATGGAGACAATGCATTTCCTTGGGAGAAAAAGTTTTGGGGTTTTGGGGGTTTTTGTTTGTTTTCTTTTTTTACAATGGTTACTCACCCTTGCACCCACTTTTTAAAGAATCTAAAGGGGGATGCCTTGGTATAGATTTCTTCCCTTTCCCCTGTTGCTTCTAGACATTGTCTGGACAATCATGAGATGAGAATCAGAAGTTTGCACACAGGATCGGTGGTTCTTAGCTCTGTAAAGAAAAAGGCCTTGGTACTTTGCTTTTGTCTTGATTTTATTTCTCCAAGACTTTTCTTACAAAGTTAATTGACCTTGCACAGTTAGCTTGATGTAATCTTAAGAAAATATATGACATATGCTTTAGAAAAATCATACATGCTCTAACCAGCCATCTCATTTGGCAATCATTTTCCCCAGCTTTTGTCCTTTCTGGGGTGGGGAGGTGGGGTTATTTTTATGATTACAACTACATTGAGAGATCCAAACTCTTGCTAACCTCCCTCTGCAACACCAGCTGGTATGAGGAGACAATCGTGGGGGTGGGGCATTGTCTCTTTCAAGGACTTTAGTTGCCCCAGACCGTTCAGCCATCAGTCCTCAAGTGGCATCCTGGGATGACCTGGCTAAGATCTCAGCAGTCCACACACATAAACCTAGCAGTTCCTCTCATAGTAACAGCATGTGTGGAAGACATAGGAAGAGCTCAAATGCATCCTGTGGAGGAAGAGGAATTGTTTTCTTGTCCCCTTATGCAGTCAAGGGACATTACAGCTGTAGAGCTGTCCCCTCCAGGGTTCCACATCTCTAGGCCCTCACCTGGCAGCCATAATATTATCTTCTATCCTATGAATGCAGGGGCCACTTTCCAGCCCTTAGAGCAACAAATGTAGGCATCTGGAGAGGAATAGCCGCTCCTCTTCTCTGGAGCACTGCTCAGCAGTTCAGCTATATCCCTAAATTGATTCTGAAGCAGCAGATGCTATCCTGGATTCACTTTCATCTGCCCAATCAAGCCAGTGTGGACAGCCTATATGGGAACACAGAGCCTTACACAGGTATTTTTCTGTCTTCTCCTAGCCAATGCTCAGAAATTTGTCCACTTAGTGAAGAAGTTCAGAGGCAGGGATCAGTTCCTAACTCATAGCAGCTGAGTTGCTGCCCTTAACTCTCCTCATACTGATATTCCCTGGGGTTTGGGGATAACCAAGGGCCCAGATGTGGAACCCAGAGAGGAAAGGTGGGCCAGGTTGTGTGTCTCAGTCATTTCCTTTCTTTTGGAGCATTGCTTTCATGAGTCACCAGCTGGTTCCAAGCCTCCTCTCCCAGCAGGCCAGGTGGTGTCCAAACCTGGAGGAAGCCTGGCTCATGTTGGAGGAAGGTGGCAGGAGGAGGGGTGGGTGGCAGCCAAGCAACCCTGAGAAGCAGTGTCCCTGGAGCTATTTCCAGGCTTGTCCCATCTGGCAGGATCTCTGTATGATTCCATGACAGTATGGGGAGCAAAGGCCCTGGGAAGGGGCTGCTAAGACAAAAGGGATGCTGGACAGAACTTTCTGGGCAATTCAGAGACTTCCAGGAATGCAGGGCAGCTTCATATCCAAAAGTCATTGCAAGATGTGGAGAGGCTGCCCTGGGACATGAAGGAAGAAGGTGAAGGTGGGATTGGGATGAAGGTAGATGGGTAGGGGGCTCAGTTCTTTATCTTTTTTATTCTCCATGGAGAATCTCACTCTGAACTTGGAGAGGCTGCAGAATCCCCGTCCTCGGGGTCCTGCCCGTGGGGTGAGATGGGTTGACCCCCTTTCACACGCTTCCACTTCATCCTTCGGTTCTGGAACCACACTTTGACCTAAGGGAAGAAACAAGGGAGCTTGGTTAGTCTGGAGCAGGTGGGACCCCGACACATCAATGCTCAGGCTGGCCAGGGCACAAGTCCAGGTACCCCAGCTTGGAACTTTCACTTGCCACCCTCCACTCCCCCAAAGGTTCCAGGAACTGAGACCAAAGGGAGGACATACCAATATGTCCAGAAATCTGTCCTATATCTCCATATAAGGCCCCAGACAGACATGGGAACAAGTTCTGAAAAGCACTGATCCCATGCCTTTCAGAACTCCGCCCCTCCTGTGCCTACACTCTTTCCTTCCAGCCTCCATTCCCCAAGGGCCTGGGAGTCTTAGCTTCAGGTACAATTATAACACAGTTAGATAAAAATCTAATAATTTTTAGTTTAGGTAGCTCTGGTTCACACATTTTCTCATCTGAGCTTCAGTATTATCTGCAGGTTTGAATTACAACCCCATTTTACAGATGGAAACCCTGAGGTCCCTGGGCTAGGAAGTGATAGAGGCAGGATTTGAATCTAACTCTTCTGATTCAAAACACAGCACTCTATCATCTGACTGCTGCTATCAACTGTCATTGTTGTCGTTACTGTTATTCCATATCAGAGCATGAGTGTGGGTGGGAGGCACTGAGAGAAAGCCTAAAACAATGGGCCAGGGCAGTTTTTTCTCCCAGTGTGCCCAGGAATCAGCTGCAAGTCCAAATCGCCTGGAGAACTTATTAGAAATGCAGATTCCCAGTTGCACTCATTATTACTGAAAATTGCTCTCCTGGAGCTCCAGACTCTGATTTTGAACAAATGCAACTGTTCAAATTTCAATGCACTCAACTTTGGGAATAAGCAGATCAAAGATTCCAAGCCTGGCTGCATATAAGAATCACCCAGGGAACCTGTGAAAAATTCTGATGTCTGGATCCCATCCCAGGCCAATTAAAACCATCTCTTGGGATGGAGCCCAGACATCAGAATTATTAAAAGCTCCTCAGGTGCTTCTCAAGGGCAGCCACAGTTGAAAACCACTGGACTGGGTGGAGGAAGAAGAAAAAGGAGACAGTCCAGGGAGAGCAGGAGGGATTGCAAGCCATACCTGCCGCTCAGAGAGGTCCAAGTTTACAGCGATCTCATATCTGCGGAGCCGGGTCAGGTAGTTATGATGGGCAAACTCAGCCTCTAGCTCCCGCAGCTGCTCTTTGGTGAAGGCTGTCCTCTCCTTGCGGGCCTTGTTGCCTCCTTCTGGCTTCCCTTGGTTCTCCTGGTTGTCTGCAGAGAGAGGGCCCCACACAGGAAGTCTTGGGCTGAAGGATCTTTGGTTCCCTCCCTTTCATCCTTAAGTATCTAGATAGCCTTTCCCCGTCTCTCTTATTTTAAGGGATACTGAGAAAAGAGCTAGACTATCTCTTCATTCCTTCCGGTATCTTACGCCTCTAAAAATTGGGAAGGTTTTTTGGCTCCCAATCTCAGATGTTTCCCCTTAGCTTTCTTTTAGACCCAAAGCACATGAAGCTGTGCCTTGGCTGTCTAATGGTTTCCACCCCTGAGCATGCCATTATTAGTGGCTGTGAGCTTCTGGATGAGATGTCCTAAGACAAATTCCCAAAGTATGGTCCCCTACCTGCAACATCAGCATTGCCCAACAACTTGTTAGATTAGAACTACAAATCCTTGGGTCTCACCCAGACCTATTAAATCAGAAACTCTAGGGATGGGGCTCAGTAATCTTTTTTTAACAAGCTTTCCAGATGATTCTGGAACACAATCAAGTTTACAAACCACTTCTATTAGCCCTCACTATTCAAAGC